ACAAGTACTTTTTTTTTTTTAATTAATAAACTCAAAACATTGTAAATGTTCTTAGAACAAATATATTTAGTGTTAATTGGGGAATAAACTACTTAGATATGACGCAGTCGTCTATGTTAATCATGTCAAACAAAGGTATTTAGTGTTCATTTGTGAACACGATTACTTTAATGCATGTTAATTTTAAAAGTAATGTGATGCGTACAATGACAAAATTGTTACACGTGTCATTATGTTAAAGTTTTTTGTTATCATTTATGTCACTGTAACATGGTTCTTAATTGAGATGCCTATGTATATTGTATGGAATGTATTTAATATTTATCATTATAGAGGAGCAGTGAGACTTACCTTGTCGGAATATTTATATAGAAAATAAATGATATGATAGATATGACATGATACGATTTGTAACACAATACGAGAAAGTCCAAAATATTTTTTTTGCCAATTAAATTTGGACTTATGATCACTTATATAATCAAATAAATAGATAACACTAAAACATGAACATCACAATAACACGATTTGTTAACCCTACTTTGCATTTAGTTCAGTTTAATAATTTATCAGTTATTATTATTATTATTATTTTTTTTTTGTCATAATAATTTGTCAAGATTGAGTCGGCTTATGAATCTCAACTTTCACACGTGTTATTAGGATATAAATTGTAGTTAGTTGTTTATGTATAAATGTAATGGACGATATTTATATTAATATATATGGTAAGATTATGATATATTAGGATGAATACAGAATAAATGGTATATATCGAGATTGTTGTCTCAGTTTCAAGAATATTGTCTAGGCAAAAATGAAAGTAACGGTAAAATGAACTTGACCGGAAAATGACGAAACAATATGTTTTGGACAAGAAGGATTAAAATGTACTTTGCCTAGTTGAGAAGCTGAAAAGATATCGATTACTGTTCACGTTATCAATTAGAGTACCCTTTTTCTAATTATTTTTCCTTTTCTTTTCCGGCAATAGATGGGGGTGATTGTTTATGAATTCATCTAGAAATTAATTGGTTTTTTTTAACTATAGTTACTTTTGAAAAAAGTTGGTATGATTAGTTGTTAGTGGATATATTAAATAATATTTAAAATAAAATAATTAAAGTTGATATGATGTAAAAGTAAGAGAAAAATGATTAGAAATGGTGGTTAGTTAGAATTATGTGAGAAGATGAATAGTGAATTAAAGTTGATGTGATGTGTAAGAATGATTGTTTGATATTATTTAATTATATTGATAATATTGGAAAAAGTGGAGTTGGGTTAAAGTTGAGTTAAATTTGAGTTTTGATTGGTTTTTTTCTAGGTGAGTTGATAAACAATCACACTATAAGTGATTTGGTATTTAATTTGTCTTCAATTGAAGAATTAGTAGTAATATGATATTTTCCATAAATTATTGAAACTCAATTTTAATAATGATTTGTCTTTTGAACAACTCAACTCTATATTTGATATATAAATTTGTTAGTTGTATAAATTTTTCACCTTCTTTGGTACATTTTGTTAAATACTGTTGATTTGGTGGTGGCATTCATAAAATATAAAGACACGACCAACATTATGCTTCATTTTCTACTAATAAGTCTAATTATATGTCAACGGCCATTAAAAATGTAGATGTTAAAGGATACACATTCCAACTATTAAAAAATCGCTGCTAAGAATATTGATAAATCATCATCAAATTCTTTATTTTTTTTGTTTGGAAATTATTAATTTTATTAACATAGGGTGGAGCCACCTTGGGCTAACGTGGACTCAAGCCCCAATGTCCATTTAAAAAAAAATTGCTAGCTTTAATTTTTTTTTAAAATTTATATATAGTCTCATGTAATTTTATAATTAGCCTACCTCAAGATTCATGTCGAATTCGTTCATCTAACAATAATGGTGAAAAAGTAATGATGGTAATGAGATGAAAGAAGACAATCTTTTATCGCAGAATGACAATTTTGCCCTAACTAAATCTTTATCAATTGGATTTATAATATGACTTAACACTCTCCTGCCTTTTAAAAAAATTCTTAATGGGTTGATTTGACAAGTACCAAATAAGGGGGATAACTAAGCTTGATTTAATTGAGTTTTTTCTCATTGCACAATTCGTTAACCATGTTTCCTTTGTTTTTTTGTTAAATTCGCCTCTAATAATTAGTTTGGCCTCATTTCCTAGACAAACTTATAGAGTTGATGACAAACATGTCTGATTTTATTTGTTCGATCGACAAGTTCGATTAGTTATTTGAGTTTGACTTATTTAAATATATAAATGAGTCAAGATTGAGTTTTCACAATTCGAACTAGAATATGTTAAATGATAATTCTGTTCTTGTCATGGCCAAAACCGGTTCCGGAGTGAAACCGCCGGTCCCGGGTCGAGGATTGGAAGGCCCTGAACTGACCCAAACATATGCACATGCCGGTTTATTGAATTGTTGGTTCTTGGACGTTCGGTTCATTAAAAAAAATAAAATATAACTAAATAATAATATTTTTTTCTAAAAGACGTTCCGATCCTGATTTCAGTTTGAAACTGAAACAGTCAGTTCGAAATGTATAAACTATAGAGTAGTGAACATGAAACAGACAAGTCAAAATCACGGGCCGATTTGTGCCAGTTCGGGCCGAGCCAGCACATGACTATGTCTACTCGACTCCTGTAAGCTATAATAATATGCAGCTCTGGATTAAAAATTTTTCTGGCTACGCCTGCATAAGTTACGTGTCTGCAAAAAGATCGAAATAATTCTCGAATCAGATTCATTTCAAGTTAAAAGGTATACGAAAAGGTTACAAGTCTAGCCAGTGGTATCTGAACTTTGTTATCTAGTGTTTAAAAATTGTGTTGGTCTTTACAACAATTTAACCATTTGACCGATATGATACTTTTACTAATAATGTGCAGTCTTTTTTTAAAAAAATATTACACTTTAAAGCACAATATAAAAATAAACTAGTACAGAGCCCGTGCGATGCACGGGGTGCACAATTTTAAGGCTATTTATTCAGACTTATAATTATATAAGTGAATAAAGAAAAATGTACGGAATATATATAGTACGTGACCCGCGAGATATATTTATTTGGAGAATATTATATTATAAGATGCAATATTCAATAAAAGTTTATAATACGCAAGAAATTGTACGATGTTCAATAAAAATTTTATAATATTCAAATGGAGTCTTAAAGTCTCTTGTACATTAAGACTACTGACAAAATAATATTTTAATCAATGAGTTTCATTTCCTTGTAGCCAAATTGTGAATTTGATTTGAGGAGTACAACAAATCGATATATAGCTGACTTGTTTTTTTCATTGTAGTTTTTTTTCTTTTTTTTTTATAATGAATTTAAAGATATTCTAAAATATAGTAAAAATTAATTTTTTTATTGCATTTAGGAATTTTACTAAATATAAACTCTCAATCTATGGTGTTAATCAACGTTTAAGTCTAAAAAATTAGGAATTTTTACCTCTTTTAATAAACGTTTAAGTCTAAAAAACAATAGAGTTATTATTAGTTTTTTTTCTACATCTTTTAAAATATTAAATATGAGCATGTTAGGGCTAGTTTGTAAAATAATTAATATATTATCTCACTAAAATATTTATACTAATAAAAATTTAATTTTAGCATATAAATTTATCCCTTGATATAAGAGAAAGTAACAGTTTTACTTATTGTTGTTCACCATATAATATTTAATTATTATTTTATTATGTAATAAAAAAGAATATTGTTAAATAGTGTAGTAGATTGTTATAAAATTATATGATTTTTTTTTTACAATATGGATTTAATATTTTTTATGATTTGATAATATAAACAAATCTATACTTAACTTTGACAAATAAAATAAATAAATACTTTAGTAAGTATTTAATGTATACTAAATAGGAATATATTTGTATAATCAAATACCAAATATAATCAAATAAGTCAAAGTGTACATTTTTATTTGGTATTTAATTTTTTTATTATTAAAATCTTTTTATAATACTTTCCTTTTTAAAATAAAATAAATAAATAAATCAATTAAATAAATAAAATATTATAATACCAAAATAGTAATGACATTTAATGCAGTTGACTTTTCTGGATAATAAATGTAGTAAATAGAATATCCTTTTATATAATATAATACGGAAATAGTAATGTAATAAATGCTGTTGACTTTCCTAGCTACTTAATTTGGTAAATAGTATCCCCTTTTATATAAGTATAGAAGTATGATTTTTGATAGTATATATTTTAAAGTATGTATTTTATTTTAAATAATATAATAGATCGACCTGCCTAATGGTTAGATAATCTAACAACTGAATCAAATAGAGAAAAATTACCTTATAAAAATCAAATACTAAAACAAAACTCCACGAAGGCTAACATGAACAAAGAAGAGCCAGTTAACTTAGCCAAGGATGATTTTCCTGCGATTAACTAATCCCTTCCCACTGAGTATGGAACATTACTCTTTCCACCATGTGAGATGAATTCTTCTTTTATGTGTTATATGATCTCTATTAATAGCTAAATTTGAAATTCTCATTTTTCTACCTTGTTGTAGACCATTAATTAGCCAGCTAGCATATATTATCCACAGGTGTAGGTTTTTTGTTCTCGACTAAAAGTAATCCATTCATGTTATTGTCCATTCAGCTTTGCATTTATGCTGTCAATGTAAAAAATATGTACCAACTTCGATATGAAAGTTAACCTCATCATAAAAGCTTTGCCAATTAGTAATTACTAAAATATTAGCTTGACATCGTATGAAAAATTAAGATTTTTTATTTTTATGTTATTGTTGTTAGGCAAGAAAAACGAAGTACAAGAAAATTTTTCTAATCCCTTACTTGTAGTAATTTAGTTTTTATTTATTTATTAATTACTATACATGGTTTATAGTTATTATAGAAAGTATTTCGTAGTATATATCTTACTTATATTTACTTACCATGTATGTCACATGATTTAAATGAGTTTCCATAATAGTTTTCCTTATACTTGTAGATAGGAAGCTATGAAGCTGTATTATTACAAGAAAGGACGAGTTGCTCATATAAGGAAGACCGAGGACGATTTGTGGTGAAGGATTTGTTGAGGATCTCAATCAAATTTAGAAGATTGATATACAATGAAAGTGTGTTCCTTCACATTGATCGAAGATTTTGAAAATCTCCAAATATGTATATGGATCTAATTTAAAGGAAACTTCGGAAGTGTCCCAACATACTTAGACTACATATATTAGTTCAAGAATTTCAAAGAAGTTGTTGATGCGAATGTGACTTATTTTGAGTATATTGTTTCATACATTCTCTGAGGGTTCATAAAATTTGAGTTTATATTTTACAGTTAGTTTTTTCATAAATTTAGTTTTGCGTTCTTTTATCTCTGAAAAACTAAAGGTATACATATCTGTACTATTGGATTGGAAAAATTGTCATAGCTAGCTTGGAGGGATTTCGGTAATAGCTATATTAAGTTCAACTAGGGACATAGCTAGTATGTTGGTAAGTTTAGAAGGGAGACCTACGCGTGATTCTAAACTACATATTTGTTGAGCATAGTTTTCGAAATTGATTTTTAACCGAGTAACTTGAAATCTGGGGCAGTCTTTCAATGAAGATTATTCGAAGCTAGTTCACGTTTAGTTGTTGAACACAAAAAAATAAGTCCTAAACATTCTATTCAGGTTTGATTTAGTTGTTTTACACTAATTTAATCTAATTGAACTAGGAAATATGAAAGACAATTAGCAAAAGGTTCAGTTTTTAACTACTATGTAGTCCCCAATTTCAACTTAAATAAAAACAAGAAAACTACCTGCAAGTATTAAGATCATAAGAAATTAAAAACGAGCTTTCAAACCATAATGATTAAGGGGACGCTTGTTTACAAATTAATTCTGTCCAAATGAAATAATTCAGGATTTTGAATTTTGTGTGATTGTTTATAAATTATTTCTCTTGGCCAATTTGAAAAACCGGGCCCACCCGATACAGTTCTTGTTCCCCATTAACATTTGTGAGCTGTATTATTAAATTGAAGTAACATTTCTGATAAAAGCAACACCTACCCTTCTCGTTCTTCGAACACATGAAGTTATGAACACCCCTTCCTCAATAAATCAACCTTCAACCCCGACATGAGCTCCGCTGCAAATCCTTCTCTTCCCACTTCGATACAACCTTTTCGTTTGCCGCAAGCTTCGCTGGAGAGGCGGGATCCGCACAGCGAAAGCACCGGCAGCGTGTCGGTGAACTCGCCCGAGAAAAAAAAGAAAAAAAGAAGAAAGGTTAGTTCGGTTTACATGTGTTCTTCCCGCATCCTTTTGTTCAATAACATACACAAGTCGGTGAATTTTCCCTAGATTTACTCGAATAAATATTTTGTATATGCGATTTGGTTTATTTGGGAACGGCTAATTAAAAAATAGGGGTTACATATCGTACAACTTGGGCACCGATAATTTGTGTTTCGCGTGCCATCTCTTATGACTCTTTCGTAATTATTTGAAGGCGAACTGGTTAATTTTATCAATTTCCCTTATTTTGTGACGAAATGTGCCGGGTTGTGCTGTGTTCATGAAGTAGATTTTGAAGGGGCGAACTGCGTGCATTTGTATTCCTGTGCTACTGTCTCGTTCAACTTGTTTTGTTTGGGGTGACATGTCTGATTTGAATTTTGCTGCTGGTGTCTTGCTCAATTTTATTTGTATGCTGACCTTTTGTTCGATTTATATTTGTGGTGTGTTCATGTTACACTCTAATAATGTTTGGATTTAAACAATACAATCTTGGAGCTGTATTTCGTGAAAAATTTGTAGATGTCCACATCTGAAGCTGGCCCTTCGCAAAGTAAACAAGGAGAAGCCAGGTGGCCTCCAGAGAATGAGGCTCGGTTCATATCGTTGATGTTGGACCAAGTTATCCTGGGGAAGTGCATCGGGCAGAAGTTCAAACAATGCAATTGGATGGAGATCCAAGAAAAACTGAACGATATATGTGGTCCTGAGTATTATTACGAGATAACACAAATGACGAGTAAACATGATCGATTAAAGCAGCATTGGCGTCGGTTCTACAATATGCTTAATAAAGATACGGGATTCGGATGGGAATCTTCCACTGGGAAGATCACAGGCGGTGACGAACTTTGGGCCCAGTGGATCACGGTTAGTGTACTTGTTCCATTTATTTTCCCAGTTTTTAAGGTTAAGTGTGCTTTATGAAGGTTTGTATTTTCCAAATGGGTGTTTTTTTCCCAGTTTCTATGGAAAAAGTGTTTTTTTTTTTTTTCTTT